TGACTCCGGCGACACCTATCGACCTGTGAGTGTAAGATCACCCCAGTTCCTTCTGTTGTCCCAAACTCAAAGCGTCCGTCCGGAATCATTGTCGAGCCGGTACCTGTCCCTGTATCCCCCCCGTTCCTCTCCGCCCGAGCCGGTGTCTGTGCCTCCGCCGCGGTCTCCCTTCCCACCAGCCTCTTGCTCGCAAGTTGTGCCGCGCCGTCTCAAAGAAGATGGCATAGCTTAGGAGGCACTTCATCACGACTGCACCTTCATTTCTCGAGTTGCAGTGGCTATGCGACTCATCCGACGCTTGCTTGTTTCCGTCTGGTCATTCGGGATGAGGAAAGTATCGGAGGTGGTGCAGCGCCTGCCTGACCTGGTTCGGCTGGCCTTCCGGGTGTACCTTCTGTGCTTCGCAGACAGACCTACCTATCTACCTACCTTGTTCATCTTCTTGCCTCCAAATTTCACCCCCTCACCCAACCTGATGCCATCAAACCACGCTTGCTGCCAACCACTTCTCACCAACGTCAAGTGACTTGCGAAACACCAACACAGTCCTCTGGGCATATACGCTTCGGCCAATGGCGACGTTCATCGCTAATCTGCAACAGAGGGAGAGATCTCGATCGCCTCGACGTGGACGTTCGCGCAGTCCCAACCGCGCATCAAGACGCCGTTCTTTCTCTCCTCGGAGCCGATCCCGTAGTAGAGACGAATACCGCGGAAGGAGAGACCGTTCCCCCATGACTGGAACCGGCGCTCCGTCTGGAGGATCTAGCACTGGCTACGGAGGGGCACCACCACACCGATCGTATGAGGAGCGCGCAGCCGCCCGCGAACAAATGATGAGCAACATTAGGGAAACGTCTCAACAGGATCGCCGCGTCTACGTCGGCAACCTTTCCTACGATGTGAAGTGGCATCATCTCAAGGACTTCATGCGACAGGGTAAGTGCAGTCATTGGCACTTCGGCCCAGGTTGCGCAAGCTGACTAGTTGGGATGATATAGCTGGAGAGGTTCTCTTCGCCGACGTGTTATTACTTCCAAATGGAATGTCGAAGGTGGGCTTCTACACGTAGTCTATGGCTGGTTTTTTCTTTTGTGGACTCTTCCCTCTGGCTATTGATGGAATCGTTGGGTTGACGGGTTGGGACTTGTGTCCGTGGGTGTATGTAGGGATGCGGGTAAGTTCACATGCCATCTCGGATTCAACCGCGATAGATGTTGACGGCGAAATTACAGAATTGTGGAATATGCGACGCGGGACCAAGCCCAGAACGCTGTGGCCACTCTCAGCAACCAGAACCTCATGGGTCGACTTGTCTACGTTCGAGAGGTACGTTCTGAATAGTACCTTGTGGTTCGTCGAATGCTGTCTAACTATGGATTTATAGGATCGCGAAGCTGAACCCCGTTTCATCGGCGCCACTGCCAACCGCGGCGGCTTTGGTGGTGGTGGCGGTGGGATGAACCCCGGTGGTTTCGGCGGCGGCGGCGGTGGCGGCGGCTACAACCCCGGAGGGGGCAGCCGACAGATTTATGTTGCCAACGTTTGTTCCCCCTAGTCTTGGCGTAGGATTCTAACGCTTCCCGATACTGACTGCAACTGCTCACAGCTTCCCTACACTGTGGGCTGGCAAGACCTCAAGGACCTGTTCCGACAGGCTGGTAAGTAGAACACCCAAAGCCTCTTCGCCAATCAGACCCATTGGTGTCCCTCGCGATGAAACTTGGAGACTTATTATCAAATGTGCTAGCTCGCAACGGAGTCGTCATCCGCGCAGATGTTCATCTAGGACCTGACGGCCGTCCCAAGGGATCGGGAATTGTCGTATTCGAGAACCCCGACGACGCTCGCAACGCCATTCAGCAGTTCAACGGTTATGACTGGCAGGGGCGTCTTCTTGAAGTCCGTGAAGACAGATTCGCTGGCGCAGGAGGGCCCATGGGCTTCGGAGGCCGAGGCGGCTTCGGCGGTGGCATGCGAGGCGGTTTCGGCGGCGGATACGGTCGAGGCGGATTTGGCGGCGGCCGTGGTGGCTTTGGTGGTGGCGGCTACGGTCGTGGAGGTTTCGGCGGCGGTGGCCCCGGCCCCGGCGGTCCCGGCGGTCCCGGTGGCCCAGGTGGCTTTGACGCTGGCAACGCTCCTTCGGTGCCTCCTAACCCATTCACTGACTACGCAACCGCTGGAACCGATCGCAGCGAGGTCATTTACACACGAAACGTAGGTTCACTTGCGCAGTTCCCCGCAAACCCACACTGACACTGGGTAGCTTCCCTGGTCCACGAGCAACGAGGATCTCGTTGAGCTATTCACCACTATCGGAAAGGTTGAGCAGGCCGAGATTCAGTACGAGCCGAGCGGTCGCTCTCGTGGGACTGGTGTAGTCCGTTTCGATTCTGCAGAAACCGCGGAGACTGCAATCGCCAAGTTCCAGGGGTACCAATATGGTGGCCGGCCATTGGGACTGAGCTTCGTGAGATACCTCAACGCTCAAGGTGGTGGTGATAGCATGGACACCGATGTCCATGCAGGCTTGACGCAGGATCAGATCATGTAAAGGGTTCAAGTGATGCGATGCCCCAGCAACATGGTATCCAAAGGCCTGGACTCTAGCCTCGTCCTTTCACCCACGATGTAGCGCGGTCATTGGACGTGGTAAGCTGTCACTGAACGGCCTGCAAAATTGTTATTGTACTCGTCACGCATTTCCTTCACAGTCTCATTCACTTTCAAAATGGCAAAATCTCCTTTCCTTTTCGAGTTGCATTTCGGGTATGCAAGGCGGGATGAACTCAGCCATGATTGGCTGCAGGGTACGACTCGTCGACCATTCTGAATCGACTCCTCATCACGCAATGTCGTTGTTATCATTTACCTATGAGGGTTCTTTCTGCCTCAGTCGTACAGTCATCGCGGACAAGCACTCCGGCAGCGTCTGCTCAAAGTGGGCTTGCGAGAAAAAAGTTATCCTTGGATGGGGATGCATGTATCTTCCTCGTCTTTTCCGAGGCCAGCTAGCGAGGTAGGAGGTGAATCAAGCTCCTCAACCTGGAATGAATTTCGAATAGAACTCAAATTCAAAGATGGCGGAAGTTCCCATCCATCAGAGACTGGAAGACGGTGACATGGCGATCCAAGCAGTATACAATCCAACAAGAATCGCATGAGCGGCGCCTGAGACTTCAGCATGCTAGACCATCGGTCGCAAAGGTAAGAGGGATGCAATACTCGTGTTGTAAACATTTCATTCATCTATACGGCCCAGTGTGAAGGTCTGATGCATTGAAGGTGATGGGCTTCACCCACTGGCGAAGGTTTGTCATAACCGCGTTGTGTATTCCACAAAGCAAGATGTCTCAGCAAACCACAAGTTGTACAATATGAAAACTGTGGCTAGTGACCCTGAGTTTGCACCTCAGTGCAAACCGAAACGCGAAGAAGTCTCTCCCGTTCCAGTCAGAGTATCTTCCCCCTAACTTGCAATCCAATTCTCATAAAACGATGCCGAACCGCTGGGTAACGTTATGAATAGAGCAGACATCTCCAACCAACCCTTCTTCTCCCGGTTGATTTAAAAAGCCCTACTTGAAACCGAGAACCACCTTGACTCTTGCCTGTATTCACCACACACGAATGCTATAAACATGTGCGAACTCCATCTTTACTGGTGCCCAAGGTGCCGGACGAGATGGCAGAAACGCAAGAGACTAGCGAGTTGCGAGGGCAGAGAGCAGGCGTCCAAGTGCCCAGAGAGCCTTTGCATGTACGTCGGAAACCCGAAAAGGCCCAGACGAGAGGAGTGCGAGAAGTGCGCATGTGTGATGGAGACCGTCGAGGGGTTCAGCGAAGGCTTATTTTTCATACAAAACTCCCGTCTCGATTGTTGAGCACAACACAAGAGACAAGATAGTGGTGGTGGTGAGGTTCATGTAACATTTGAAGACGCAGAGCTAGTTACTACTCAGCCTTAATAAGTTACTAGGTACTGAGGGCATGTAATCCACCTGTGACTCTTTCTATACAGCCCCGGATTGTCATCTTAAGCCCTCTGACAGGGACCGACGATGCTTGGGCGGTACGATGGGAAAGCGCCTACTTGTGCTCTCGGGCTCAGGACCATGGATACTAGGTACTGTGCCAGAAGCGTCGACGACGTGTGCGTGATATCTGATTTCCATCTCCTTCACCCCATCACAAGGGATGCACTGCCTTTTCGGGGGACAAACAATGGCGGTATATAACCTGGCTATATTGGTGGCGCAACGGAAGTTCAACTCAAGCCGTCCTTCCCTCACGCCGCAGCGACGGCCGTGACTGCACCTCCCTTCTTCTTTCTGGACTTGGCCTTCTTCTTACTCCGATCCCGGGGCTTGAGTGCGGACATACCCCCCTTGCAGATGTTGGCGTAGCTGGCGAAGAAGGATTCCAAAGCATCGGGCTGAACGATTGTGGACAGCTTGATCTTGTCGTCTCTATGTTTCTTCGACTTGCCGTTTGTCGCGCGCACAATCACAGGGAGTGTATTTGCGGGGTGGAGGTCGGAGAAGGAATCATCGCCGGCTGGTGGTGTCGAGGCCGTATCTTGGCCGTAGGTTACTAGAGAAGACGATGAGTCTCTGGGTATCTCGGGTGCGGCCGCGAAGTAGTGGACATACATCTTTTCTGGACGAGGAATATGGAGCCACGTCCCTTGCTCTTGCGTTGTTCGAAAAGCTCTGCCAACTTGCCGAAGAACTATGGTCGAGTTGTTAGCAAGACCATTAACTTATACAAGGACACATCGGATGCGATAGGGGCGAAGTAGGAAAAAAAGTATACCTCTTCGTGACTGAGGTGGGCTGACATTATCACCGAAGCGTCTAGCGTCGCGCGCAACCAGATGAAGCACTACGATAGTAGAATAATGCAGCTGCACGGTGTGTTATTCCATCAGAGACGCCGGAAATGGTGAGATGTCGGTATACAAAAGCAACCAGTTTGGTGAAACGGGCTGCTAGGTGCTCATGTGCGGGTTTGGCCATTCCCCGCAGCAAGGCTATGATAGTGAGCAAGGGTGTATGGGCCCCCGGACAGTGGGGTTTACTTGGAGCTACCTTACCCAGTATGCAAGGTGACATACCTACTTGGGACCATGAGCAGTGAAAAGCAGTTCCAACAGTTTTCTATTTACTAAGCAAATATACAATATAGTTCTTAGAAGAAATAGAGTGGAAATTAAAATATATATATTTATATTATAATAAATTACCTTGAAATCAATATTTATTTATTTATTTATTCTGCCTTTACTAGCTGCTCGGGCAGTTCTTAATATTAATTATACAGTATTAATATATAATAATAATAAATACTCTTACTATCTCAATAGACCTTAAAATTAATATATAATTAAAAAAGTAATTAAAAAGTAATTGCGTACAGTTATAGCATATTATAATATATTAATTATATATGTTATAAGCTATGCTAAGCTGATATCATCACACTATGTCGAGAACCGTAAGATAATTTCAAAAGATATAAGTACTTTACCTTCTTAGTTCACTAAAAGAAACGGAGGGGTGTGGCGTGACCGCGCATCGGTGAGTCGGCGAATCGGTGCTCAGGTACCCGTTTTCGAGCTTTTACCCCACTAAAAAGTTTCTCGAAGTCGGCATTCGCGCAAGAGTTTCTCGACAAGACCTGGTTCCGTTGCTATTGCAAAGTCTGAGAACGTGTTTCTACACCTCACCATCCGACGATATGCCTCCAAAGCCGCTCGCCTTACCCACACAGCTCCTCAAACAGATCGGTGCGCCGGATCAATCTGCCACCTCAAGATCTAATCCTCGTTGGAAGAGCCAGGGACAGAACAGAAAAGATCGACGGAAAGCCGACAGGCAGTCCAAAAAGCAGTGGCAGACAACAAGAACAACAACATCGCGGGACCACATTGTACAGATCCAAGGTCCTATCAGTAACCACGGAAAGGGCAATGATGGCAAACGTCCTCTCGACGAACCAGAGGAGCCACGCAGCCCAGCCCCGAAAAAGCGCAAGCGGGAGCAAATCAGCAAATACCAAGACGAAGACGACAACGATGACTCCGAGAAGCCTTTAGTGTTGAATCACCCGTCTCGCGCCGTGCAAGAAAGGCTGGCCAAAGATGACGCCGAAATCGAGCAGCTTGAGCGTAAATTAGGATTGAAGAAGGGTCGGAAGTCCATCCCCAAGGCTTTCAAGGACGACGGACTCGATGATTTGCTTGGCGATCTCAACGACGGCAACGAATCGGACGAAGGAAGCCACAGAGTCAAGAGCGAGGCCGATGCATGGCTTGCGGCAAAACGAAGGAAAGCGATCCAGGTCCAAGCAAAAATCAGGTCTATAACGGGAAGCGACGACGACGAGGATGAGCCGGGGTTTACAGACGAAGAGGTATCAGATGAAGAAAATGACGAAGACGACGAGGACGAAGATGGAATTTTCATGGAAGATCAGGGCGACTCTGATGACCAGGGCTCACTGGGAGATTTCGACTCCGAAGATGAGGAGCCTGTCCAGGAATCCAAACCTATCAGAGAGAACCCATATCTCCCACCAGTCTCAGCTGGCACGCAGCTTCCCAAGTATATCCCTCCGTCGTTGCGAGCACGATCAGGCGGCGATGCAGATCTTGAGGCTCAGATCCGAAGGAAGCTGCAGGGTCCTGTCAACAGGGTCACTGAAGCAAACTTGGTATCCATTGTTGGTGAGATCGACAGGATATATCAGGACAATCCAAGGGGCCACACCAACGATATCTTGACAGGCTTGCTGATGGCTCAAATTTGCGATCCTACAAGCAAGCCCGATACGCTACTCGTCCTGTCAGCCGGCTTCGTTGCTGCTCTCTACAAAGTCATTGGTATCGATTTCGCCGCGCATTTCCTTACCACGGCTGTGGAGCGTTTCCAGGCCGAGAGGGACAAAGCAATAGTAGCGGTCAACGAAGACCGCATACCGACGAAGGAGACATCTAATCTCCTCACCGTGCTTGCGGAGATGTACATGTTCCGTGTCGTCGGCAGCAACCTGATATTCGACTTTGTGCGGCTCCTTCTCGAGGATTTATCGGAACTGAATGCCGAGCTCTTACTGCGGATTGTTCGCGTATCAGGCCCTCAACTACGAAAGGACGATCCGTTGGCGCTAAAAGATATCGTCAGTTTGATTCGTCCTGCGGTAGCCAAAATTGGGGAGAGCAACCTGACGGTTCGCACCAGGTTTATGGTCGAGACCATCAGTGACCTCAAGAATAATAAGGTCAAGGCTGGCGCACAGGATCTGGCCATTCTTGGTGAGCATGTCACGCGCATGAGAAAGGTTCTGGGTTCTCTTGACGCGCAAAAGCTCAAGGCATCAGAGCCCCTTCGCATCGGTCTGAAGGATATCGAGAACGCAGACAAGACGGGCAAATGGTGGCTGGTGGGAGCCAGCTGGGCAGGCCAGGATACACGAGCGGCAAACAAGGATAAGGAGAGAAGCGCGATCGCAGGAGATGTTGACGATATGGTGGTTGCAGATGCTGACGATCTGGCGACTCACGATTACACGCAATTGGCACGAGAGCAAGGAATGAACACTGATGTTCGACGAGCCATCTTTATCGCGCTAGTTGCGGCTGCCGACTATCGGGACGCGTACATGCGTATTCTCAAGCTACGACTCAACAAATACAACAGACGCGAGGTGCCAAATGTCCTTCTCCAGTGCTCAGGAGCACAGCAACACTACAATCCTTTCTACACATTGGTATCCAAAAAGTTCTGCACCGATTCACGGATCAAGCATGCATTTCAGGATAGCTTGTGGACGCTATTCCGCAGACTTGGTGAGCCTCTGTTTGGAGAGGAGGCCGAGGAGGAAGACGAGGAGGGGGTAGACGACCGACGTCTCATCAACACTGCTAAGATGATGGGAAGCTTAGTTGCTGACGGCTCTGTCAGTCTTGGGATTCTCAAACCACTCAATCTGGCTTACGTCAGGGAGAAGACCAGCTTGTTCGTCGAGGTAATGCTCATCACTGTGCTTCAAGAGTGCAGTCACGTGAAGGGCAAGAGCCTGGAGCAAGCCCTTGGAGTATGCTTCGGCAGTGGGTTGACGCCAGCCCTCGCGAGGAGCGTAGGCTATTTCTTGCGCAAAAAGGTCCGGGCTACAGACCTTGTTGGCGGCAAGAAAGAGACTAGAAAAGTCAAGGAGGCGTGTAAGATGGCAGAGGCGTTGCTAGAAAAGCCAGACACGGGCGAAGATGCGTAAATCCAACAGCTTGGACATGAACGGGGAAATTTACAACATGACAAAACATCGGTTCGCTCGTGCCTGCGTCCAAGTAGCCCCGTGATTACGATCTGAAATCTCTCGAAGACACTGAAGACAGCCGCAGGCCAATACAAGGTCTCCAGCCCTGCCAGCTACAACCACTTTATTTCGGGTCTTCTGTTTTACTAATCACGGTACAGAAATTATCATAGACAGATGGAAATGCCGAGACCGACTTCGGATAAGGTATCTCCACTACTGCTGACCGTATCTCACAGCCGGCAACGCGCAGTGTAAATAAATCAGACAGCATGCCTAAGCAGGGAGCCATCTATCCATGCCCGTACATACCCGTTCGGAGGACCCCGGTCACAGTGTGGTATGCCTAGAGCGTTCGATGTAATGACGAGTCCCTTTCCTGGATAATAACCCTCTAGCTGGCGTAAAAACGTATGCTTATGCTACAAACTACCTTTTCGAACTTCTATCCGCTGTCCCTCAGGTGATACAAATTACATGCTTCGAATGTCGTTGTTTCAGGACGCCAAAGCTTTCCACCACTCGCACCATTGCATCGCTGTGACTGGCCTTACATGTGGATCGGCTTGGAGTAGGTGGCCATAGCTGCCTCCTTGAAGGCCTCAGCCAGGGTGGGGTGAGCATGGCAAGTTCTGGCGATGTCTTCGCTGGATGCTCCATATTCGAGAGCAAGAGTGGCCTCCGCAATCATTTCGCCAGCATTGGGACCAATGATGTGGACTCCCAAGATTCTGTCCGTTTCAGGGTCAGCAAGCATCTTGACCATGCCCTCAGTATCCAGGTTCGTCTTGGCGCGGGAGTTGGCGCTGAAGGGGAATGAGCCGACTCGGTAGGGGATGTCTTGAGACTTGAGGTCCTGTTCACTCTGGCCAACCCAAGCAACCTCGGGATGGGTGTACATGACAGACGGGATGACGCCGTAGTTGACGTGACCATGGCCCTTCTTGATATACTCGACAACAGCAACAGCCTCCTCCTCGGCCTTGTGCGCCAGCATAGGTCCAAAGGTGACATCACCAACGCAACGGATGTGAGGGATCTTAGTGCGGTACTCGGAATCGATAATGACACGGCCTCTCTCGTCGAGGTCGAGACCAATGTTCTCAAGGCCCAGTCCGCCCGTGTAAGGTCTACGACCAATCGCGACAAGGACGACGTCGGCATCGAGCTAATAAAAAGGTCAGCATCTTCTACCAAACCGGTTTTTGGCCAAGTCTTACCGTCTCCGGCTTGCCACCCTTGGCAGAGTCGACCTCCAACTTGACCTTATCGCCACTCTTGTCGCCGCTCAGAACCTTGGTGCCCGTCTTGAAGGTAATACCCTGTTTCTTAAGAATCTTCTGAGAGCTCTTGGCAATCTCGGCGTCCATTCCGGGGCCGCCAATCTGGCCGAGGAACTCCACAACAGTCACCTTGGAGCCGAGACGGGACCAGACGGAGGCCATCTCCAGACCAATGATGCCGCCACCAATGACAACGAGGGATTCCGGAATCTTGTCGAGAGAGAGCGCACCAGTGCTGGTGACGACGCGCTTCTCGTCAATCTCGAGACCAGGGAAGGGAGTAGCCTCGCTGCCAGTCGCGATCAGGATGTTCTTGCCCTTCACAGAGGTCTCGCCACCGTCATTGAGAGAGACTTTGATCTCGTTCTCGTTGACGAAGGTGCCGGCACCCTTGATGTATTCGACACCATTCTTCTTGAAGAGGAATTCGACACCCTTAGTCAGGCCGCCGACGGCGGTGTCCTTAGCCTTCATGAACTGCTCCAGGTTGACCTTTACGTCTGAGACATCGA